AGAGAGAGAGAGAGAGAGAGAGAGAGAGAGAGAGAGAGAAGGAGAAGGAGAGGGAGGGAGAGGGAGAGGATATATATACATGGGCTAATGAGAAGGCTTGGCAGGTAAAGGCACCTGCCACTAAGTCTAAGGACCACATATCAGAAGAGAACAGACTCTCGCAAGCTGTCCTTTGCCCTGAAGCCATGGTACTTGTACACACACACACACACACACACACACACACACACACACACAAATGAAACATAATAAAAAATTTATTTTTTATTTATGTGTAGATGTGTGTCTGTATCTGTGTATGCTGTGTGTGCTCGGGTGCTTACGGGAGCTAGAAAAGGTTGTCAGAGTCCCTTGAGCTAGGTTTACAGGCAATTACAAGGTGCCTGTGTGGTGCCGGGAACTGAACTCAGGTCCTCTGGAAGAACAGCAAGTGCACTTAACTGCCGAGCCATCTTTCCACCCCCCCCCCCACCCCCCCAAAAAAAAAAAAAACATTTTAAAGAATATATATAGCCATTTCTTGAATTTGGTAATCTTTAGACAAGAAGGATTAAACCACAGCGTTGTTTTATAAGAATCACCCAAAATAATTATACAGATGTGCAACTGCATTTTAAAAACATAATGTAAAAATATTTTAAAAATACATGTATTCTTTAAATATAATTATAAATCATGTGATTAAAAAATCTTAATGTGATTTAATCACATTAAGATGTGATTAAAAAATTAAATATAACATAAATATTATATATTAAAATATAAAAATATTTTAAAGAATATATGCACATTTTTAATCCCAGCACTCAGGAGGCAGAGGCAGCAGATCGCTGTGAGTTCAAGGTTAGACTGGTCTACAAAGTGAATTCCAGGATAGCCAGGGTTATACAGTGAGTCCCTGTCTCAAAACAACAGTAACACACACACACACACACACACACACACACACACACACACACACACACACGTAATCATGATTGTTGTTTTAAGAGTGGGTTCCATCAGAGTTAGTAGGCCAGGAACTGTCACACCATCTTGTTTTAGAAACTAAGGGAGGTGAAGAGTTGCCGAGCCACCCTCCCGGGAGTTGGTGGCGACAGAGGTCCTGGACAACTCATCGGGTGTTCCTGCATGGATGGTGATCTAGATCACACCCAGTCCAGTTTGAAGGGGCTAACCGAACAGAGTAGGACTGCATTCATCCCAGTGGAGGTGGACTTCCCCGTTAAAGCAGCTTCTCTTGTCTGAATTTCACCTTCTCTCGGACCGACTACTCTTAGATTTCTGAAAATTCAGAATAAACCTTGGCTTAAAGGGAGAGATGTGAACAGGCTACTGTGGCATCTCAGTTCTGGTCCTGGAAGGTTTCTGGCTTCCTTCTGTCAGCAGAGAGCCAGAAGCAATTTATTAGCCTAGTTCCTCCTGAGAAAAAGTTTGTGTTAGGGAAGAGGAAAAGGGAATTAGAAAATTGCTATCCTTTCCATCTTCCACCAGGGGGCACCATCTCACCACATTTTCTCTAGGTCCGTATGTGTTACTATTCTGTGACAGTCATTATAGATGAATTAAAATGTAGGCAAATACTCAGAGGCAAAAAGAAGAAACATTGAAATTATTCTTTTCCTCAAGCTACTAATTCAGATTTTATAGATTCCAGCCACTGGCATGTTACAATATATGGTCTTCCCAGACATTTTCCTACCACGTCTACATTCATAAAAGTAACTTTATTTGCCTAGTGAATTGTAATGTACTATAGAGAGGTATGTAATTTGTTTGTTTGTTTGAGACAGGGTTCTCTTGCCACCCTGGCTGTCCTGGAACTCACTTTGTAGACCAGGCTGGCCTCGAATTCACCTATCTCTGCTTTGAATGCTGAGATTAAAGGCGTGTGCCACCATGCCAGACTGTATTTTTCTTTTTCTTTTTTTTCCTTTGAGAAAGGGTCTCACTAAGTAGACTGGCCTCAAACTCCTGAGTGCCGGGATTATAGGTGTGTACCATTATGCTTGGCTTTAGCAAACAAATATTGAGTAGCTTGGTTAGTTTTTCCAATTGAAGGGCGCCATTACTCAAGTTAGTCCTTGAGGACTAACACGCTGTCCTTAGAGGGCCTCTTGGCTTTCTGCAGTTACTGGTTTCTTCAGAGAGCCGTTGTCCTGGCTTCTAAGGTGAGCAGTAATTTTACCTGGTCTGGAACCGCGTCGGTGGGGTTGTGCAGTCCACATGCTGGTTTCCGGCTCTCCCCAGCAGTGCTGTGTAAGTAAGAAGTAGACATTTTCATACAACTGTATTCAGTCATCCCCTTTGTTTGCTGGAGTTTCTTTTTTTTCTCTTTTTGAAACAGGGTCTTACTTTGTAGTGCTGGCCAGCCTTGACCCACCTGGCTCTGCCTCCTGATGCTGGAACTGAAAGAGTGTACCACCACATGAAGCCCACCACCTTATGTACTGTGTGTTAGCAAACTTCCCATACAGCTCCAGACAATCTTGTAAGCTTTATCGGCCTTGCAGTGCCTGTCCCAACTGTCACAGTGCCTGTCACAACTCTGCCACTGTGGAACACAAGCAACCGTAGGTAGACACGGAAGTTGACCACTGTGGCCGTGTTCCAGGAAAACTTGAAGAGAATGGGTGCATCTGTCAGCTACTGCTTAGTTCTCAAAAGTTCTCATCTGGGAAGATGGCTCAGCACTCACTGCTGAGGGAAAAGCATGGGGACTGGGTTTGGATCCCGAGCACCCACGTAGACTGGGCGTGGTGGCTTGCCTGCAGTCTCAGCACCCCGAAGGTGGAGACGGGCTCTCCAGGGCAAGCTGGCGGGGAAGACTAGGTGAACTGGTGAGCTCTGGCTCTAGTGAGAGACCCTGCCTCAATACATGAGGTGGAGAGGACGGAGGAAACTGCTGATGTCAGCCTCTGGCCTGTGCACATCTGTGTGCTCACAGGATATGCAAACATACATCCACACATGCACACATGTGCACATACATGCAAAACTAAAAACAATTTCTAAAATAAGATGATTTTTAAAAGAATTAAATGTAGTATCAAGATTAAACTTCTTGAGATATCATCATTTCCCTGTGAAAGAGAATTCCAGAAAGTGAACTAACAGCCAACACTCTTTTTTTCTTCATTGTAGTCTCTGGCAAACATAGATGATGTCGTGAGCAAAATTAGACTGAAAATAAGGTAAGTAACACCATATGACTGTTAATTAGTGAAAAGCATATTAATTTAGTCATCTCTGAATCACATTTTTTGATGAAAGCACCAAAATCTCAAATTTAAAAATAATTCTTTCTCATGGGTTTTTATGTAAACTCTATGGCAGGGAGCTTAGTTCTTTGGCCGGGGTCTAATGATCATTTGTTCTGCCCATACAAAATGAAGGGAACTGGAACAGACTCTGTTTAAAAAAAAGGTTATCACCCAGGCTGTGGTGGTGCACACCTTTAATCCACACTGGAGAGTAGACACAAGAGGCTCACTGAGTCCGAGGCAGCCTGTTTAATAGAGTTCCCAGCCAGCTAGAGCTGTACAGTGAGACCCTGTCCTAAAACAACACAGAACAGGTCCGTTCATCAGGGCTGGGAATGTAATTCAGTAGAGTGCTGACCCAGCAGACATGAAGCCCTGGATTCAATCCTAAGCGTGGCATAAACCCGTAAACCAGGTGTGGGTGCACACACCTGTAGTCTTAGCATGTGGGAGCTGGAGGTGAGGTGGCCAGAAGTTCAAGGTCATCCTTGGCTACATGGTGAATTTAAGACCAGCCTGGGATACATGAGACCCTATCAAAAAGAAAAAGAAAAAGGAAAAAAAAAAGAGGAAGAAGATGAGGAGGAGCATGATTTCATTGCTTCAAATGTATTTTGGAGATTTTGTGTGCATTTGTTTGTTTGTTTCTTTCTTTTTGTTTGTTTGTTTTTTTTCCGAGACAGAGTCTTTCTATGTAGCCCTTGGCTGTCCTGGAACTAGCTCTGTAGACCAGGCTGACCTCGAACTCAGAGATCTGCCTGCTTCTGCCTACTGAGTGCCGGGATTAAAGGTGTGTGCCACCACGTCCAGCTTGTTTTTGATGAGGAAACTTATTTTGGAAATGGAAAGCATTCATTTTGAGTGTAGAAGAGGAGTTTTTTCCCTAACATTCTTTAGTCTTTCAGTAAAGGGCACTGCCCTGTAATGTATTGTTCCAGTGGTGCCTTAGAAAGCACAAAGATGAACTAGAGAGAAGGCTCAGGGGTTAAGATCACTTGGTGCTCTTGCTGAGGACCCAAGTTCAGTTCCCAGTACCCATGTTGCTGCTCACAACCATCTGTAACTCTAGTCCCAGGAGATCTGACACCCTCTTCTGACCTCTACAGGCACTAGGCATGCATTTTGTACATATACATATACACATGCTGGCAAGACATTCACACACATAAAATAATAAAATAAGTAAATCTTTTTTTGTTTGTTTGTTTTTGTTTTTCAAGACAGGGTTTCTCTGTGTAGCTTTGTGCCTTTCCTGGATCTCGCTCTGTAGACCAGGCTGGCCTCGAACTCACAAAGATCCTCCTGCCTTTGCCTCCTGAGTGCTGGGATTAAAGGTGTGCACCACCACCACTATCACCATCACCACCACCACCACCACCCGGCTAAAATAAGTAAATCTTAAAAAAAAAAAAAAAAAAAAAAAAAAAAAAAAAAAAAAGCCTCCTTGTTGTTTTGTTGGCTTCAGTTATAATGGCTCTAGAGGAGACCTCGAAGTTGCCAGAGTTTATATAGAAAGTAGAAACATCCTGGCGATCCAGAGAGCCCTGTCAGCTAGGTATTTCCTGCATTCCTGATACCACACCTTAAATAGATTCTTCAAGTGCAAAGTGAAGCTGGCTGATAGAAATTCCTCTGGCCGAGGCGCCATGCAGTGGCCCTTGCTGAGCCCCTGGGAAGAGACATCCCGGAAGCCATAGATCTGCCTCTGACAGGCTGCACCTTGGGGCACAAAGAGTAAGGACTGAGTGCAGAGACCACCCTGGCTCCTTGACTCTGCTCACCAAAGTCAGGATTTTGCAGTTGCTGATTTGAATTTGCTGGCTTATTTCTATAAAACATCTGTAACTTTGTCATTGCTGATTTACTCTGTGAAAAACGTTCACAGTTTTATTGGTCCTTTCGGCCAGCTTCTGAACATTAACTCTTGCCAGTGTTTAAACAGAGGCAATGCTAAGTCTGCACTGGTGCGGCTTCTTGCATTGGTGTTGCTGCCTGCTCCCAGGCCCCATTCTTCATCGCTTGGGCTCGTGTGGTTTTGTGTGGTTGGCGGCATTAAATAGGTGCAGTCCACGGGGGTTGATGAGTGAGCTACTGACTTTCTCTTTCTTTTGGTCTACCCGGAGCTGGGTTGATTGGAATGACTCGTATCCTGTCTTTGTTTTTTTTTTTTTGCCAGGAGACTGGATGACAATATCCGGACTGTCGTAAGAGGTCAGACAAATGTGGGGCAGGATGGAAGGCAAGTAAGTGACGAATCCCCCCACATTAGTTACAGCCCTGATTTCATGGAGACCCAAACCCCGCGTCACCAGAATGTCGACCAGTTTGTTTGCACCTTGTTAGCCTGTTCCATGTGCAGCAGGAAGCATGAGTGACCTGCTCCACCATGACAGGGGGAGCATCTCCAGGCCAGCCCTGAGCTCTCACACGGTGTCTCCAGACCCGGATTGTGTATTAATGCACAGCTGACCCGGGGCCAGCAACCTGCAGACTGTGATGGACAACCTGAAGGGTCCTAGTTTTTCACCGCCTCAGACAGGCCTTATGTGCCATGCCTAACTCGCGTCCCTGCCTCTGTCTGTCAGTTGGTTGTCGGGGACTCAGTATTGGTTTGAGTGCTGTAGATGTTGACGGGAGGCAGCCGTGGTTCCTCACACCCGTCTCGCCAGCCCGCAGAACTGGGTTCATTCCAGCTTCATGTAGTTCCTTCCTCCTCACTAGGGAGGGCTGTTGCGAGGGGATGGAGGGGAAGAAGCCTGTGGAGAGGAGGTTATTCTTTGGTGACCGAAGGGCAGATGTCATCTGCTAACCAGCCTCTCTTCTATTTGGATTGTGTTTGGCAGTGTATTTCAGAGATTGCTGTCGTAACAGAAAGGCTGCTCGTGCCTTTCCCGCCTTCCTCTCCACAGTGTCTGGCTGGCCCTCCCTTCCGTTTAGTTCACTTAGGTCAGCCGCACGTTGTTGGGATGGCTTCCCTCTTCTCCTTTGTCCTCTTCAGCTTTTTGCAGTGCTGGAGATCAAACCCGCGGCCTTGTGCACACTAGACCAGAGTGTTCCACCCCGAGCTACTGGCAGTGTTAGCTGCCTAGCCTAGGCAGCCTCAAAGTCCCGGTCCTCCCGCTTCACCTGCTGAGAGCTGGGGTGAGAGCGGCAGCCGCCATGACCAGCTCTCTGACAGTTTGTAGGACAGCGGGCTTCTGAAAACAGCTCTCATGCTGCAGGCTTAGAGTGCAAGAAAGGGCCTAATTCTAGGTACAACTTTATCTGTAACATCCCGCTCTGCTGCTAATGGCTCAAAGATGTCTTGACTCTTAGATTTTTCATTTTTTTTTTCTTGCTGCTGTTGTTGTTGTTTATTTATTTGAAGTTTTTTGTTTTGTTTTTCCGACACAGGGTTTTCTCCGTGTAGTTTTGGTGCATGTCCTGGATCTCATGCTGTAGACCAGGCTGGCCTCGAACTCACAGAGACCTGCCTGCCTCTGCCTCCCACGTGTTGGGATTAAAGATGTGCACCACCACCACCTCCCAGCTTGAAGTTTTTTATATTTATTTTTATTTTATGTGTATGAATGTTTTGCCTGCATGTATGTGCACCGCATATGTCCCTGATGCACATGTGGACATCAGAAGAGGGTGTTAGACACTTTGGAACCGGAGCTCCAGGTGGTTGTAAGCCGTCTTATGGGTACTGGGAACTGAACTCAGTGAAAGGAAAAGTATCTTGGCTCAGGACCCCTGCTAGCAAGTTCTCAGCACAAAGATTCATTTGCCCCAGAGGGCAGGGAATACGAGACAAAGACAGGAGCTAGAACAAGGAAGACCGCAGGGGATTTGTCCCAGAAAACAAAGGATTGTCTCAATAGAGAGGAGACAGATGTGGTCCATAGACAAATGGCAGTTTATAAAGGTAAAATGAGAAACCCATGTTAGGATGAGATGTTTAATTTTGATTGGGCACATTTATTAGATGATGTTTTTTGAGACAGGGTTTCTCTGTGTAGCTTTGCTCTTTTCCTAGAACTCACTCTGTAGACCAGGCTGGCCTTGAACTCACAGAGATCCGCCTGCCTCTGCCTCCCTAGTGCTGGAATTAAAGGCTCGTACCACCACCGCCTGGCTCCAAAGGGGGCTTTTGATTGCTGGACTTCAATACTTTGCTATCTCTCCGGCCCCCTTATTTGCATTTTGTGTGTGTGTGTGTCTGTGTGTGTGTGTGTCTGTGTGTCTGTATGTCTGTCTGTATGTCTGTGATGGCCAGAGATCAAAATCAGATGTCTTCCTCAATTGCTTCTACCCTATATTTTCGACAGAGCAGCTCACTGAACCTTGAGCTCACCAGTTTGACTAAACCGTCCAGCAAGCCCCCAAGGCTCCTTCTGTGTCTGCCTCCCCCATGGTGGGATGGCAGGTGTGTGCTGCCGCTGCACCTGGCTTTTAGATAGGTGCTGGGGACTGACCTCAGGTCCTCATGTTTGAGAAGCAAGGGTCTGGCCTGTCGAGCCCCTGCCCCAGCCTCATTTAGTTTTATGCATCTCTATTTCCTACGTTTCATGGCTGTCACTCTTCCTCTTGACATACCCCTTCTCTTGTCTGTCAGGACGTAGCCTGTCTTCGTCCTTTCCTCAGCACTGGTGCTTCTTGTGTGCTAGTTCCCTAAGACATCCTGTTTCCTGGACTCTCCCGTGATGCCGGGGTTTACTGCTTGTTTTCATCCGGTCCCATGTAAACAGGACCCTGGAAGTAATATCGAGGAGGAAGGTCCCCTCACTGGGAGGATTAGCCTCCGTGTTTCATGTCGACTCACGGCATTTGCCTCCTCAGAACCCTCCACCTCTGACCTGAGTGAAGTCGGTCACGCTCCCTTACTGCTCTTGAGGCTGCCGTCCACGTTTCCCGCTGTCTCCCCCTGTGTCCTGAGCACCCGAGAACCTCCTGCTCTGCTGCACGCCCCGCGCTCTCTGACCCGTCATATGTCGTCTTTGTACCTGTGCTAGTTATCACCACCGTGCCACCACGACCAGCCAGGAGCAATGTCAGGGAGGAAGGGGTTATTCTGACTTACAGCCGCGGGGATCCAGTCCATCCCGACCCGGAAGGCCCGGCCGGCCGGCCGGCAGCAGGGACATTAGTCACATTGCATCCACAGTCAGGCAGAGAGCGGTAAATGCTGTTACTCAGTTCTGTCTCTTCTTTTTATTCAGTCTAGGACTCCAGCCCATAGAATTTAGGGTGGGACTTCCTGATTTATTAACCTGGTCTAGATAATCCCTCTCAGATCTGCCTCTCTCATCCATGATTCCAGATCCATCCTCACTAATCAGTCTTCACTACTAAGGCCTGAAGTGGGGTTTTTTATTTTTGTTTTTGTTTTTGTTTGTTTTTTGCTTCCCTTTCTTCCAGATTTTATATTTCAGAACTTTACCCGTCTAAGGGCAAGCTCAAATACTGCTTTTTCTTCATGTTATTTATTTATCCCATCGAATAACACCAAAGTACTCAGACTTTGAGGCCCAAGGAGACTCGACCTTCATCTGACCTCTCTTCATCTAGAGAGACAGATGTGTGTCCTTCCCACGTGTCTGTCAGCCCCAGCCCTGCGCTGTGCCCGGCCTCCCTTGGTTACTAATGAGTAGGTCAGGGCCCGTTGGCTAGTTTGTGGTCCCCTGAAAGCAAGGCTATCGTTTTTGTCTTCATGCTTCAGTCTCCATCGTCCCGGGCAACTGCAGTGAGTGTTTGCTGTGTCTCAGATCAGTCATTGCCAATAGACAGATGCCCTGCCCCTGACTGTCAGAACTTCATCTTAGTTAGGCTTGAGGGACTTTAAAGTTTGGTTTGGGTGGGCTAGTGGGGTGTTCAGTGCTAAGGAACTTGGGGTTCCTGAATGCTAGGCAAGTGTGCATAGTTCTACCACCAAATTGCTTCTCCAGCTCATGGTTCATGTGTGAATAGGTCCAGGTTACTGCTGGTTGGAATAGCACTGCTGTATTTTGTGACTTAGCCTACATTTAGAACGGCTTACCAGAAGTCTTAAAATACTTGGCGAGTCTCAGATGTTAAGATTGATCCTAAGACTGTGAAGAGAAAGCTGATGATTCATCACAGTTTTTGTTGGGTCATGCTGTCTGTACACATCCTGGCTGCTTCCGTTTTAACTTGTGGACCATCAAAGAGCAGCATGGGGGAGCGAGCCCCGGAAGGGGTAGGCCTCAGGAATGCCTCTCCCCACCTTCACTTGGAAATGGGTCACAGGTTGTCAGCAGGGCAGCTCGTATTTCAGAGAGCAAGACCATGTTTTCAAGAATGTTTAGATCGAATTTCAGCCTGTGATGGAATTTGTGTTGTCTCCTTAGACTCCAGACAGAGAGGAAGCCCAGAAGAAATAATGGCTTTTCCTGTCATCTCCCATCTGTCTCTGTCAGCAGACTGACATGCCAGCCCAAGTGGAGACTGTTCAGCAGAGTGCGCTCAGTTCTGTCCTTGTCGGCTCCTAGGGGCGACAGCACGGATCTGGCGGGTGCTTTGCTGAAGGGAGTCCCCAGCTGACAGGCGTAGACTAGGGAATTATAGATGTGCCAGAGTACTGGGTTTTCTAAGTCAGGGGGCCCCAGGCTCCCCTCTTCTGTGGAACATGAGCAGTTCGCTTTCAGAACTTGTTTCCACAGAGGCTGAGAACACTCAGAGAGCAGGAGTAGGAGCAAAGGAAGCTTCCCTCCCTGGATGGACTCTCCACCCCTGAGCAGCTTGTCAACCTGTGTAGAGCAAGCGGTCCGCCTCATTGCGCACCGTAGAGTCTTCTTGGAGCTTGCTTGTTTTTTGTTATTTTGGGGTTTTTGTTTTTGTTTTTTGAGACAGGATCTCATGCAGTGCATTCTGGCCTTAAAACCCTCCTACCTCCACCTTCCAAGTGCTAGGACTACAGGCGAATGCCTCCAGACCTGACTTTCCTCATGTCTTGGAAGACATTTTAAGTGATTTCTTGTTATGGAGGAGGGTAATAAGCATGCATGCCAGTGCACATGTCAAGGCCAGAGAAAAAGTTTGCAGACTCAGTTTTCTCCCCACTTTTCTAGGGGTTCTGGTATTGAACTCAGCTCACTAGGCTTTCATGCTGCTGAGCCATCTCTTGGGCCCTTTAAAAGACATTTTTAGCAGGGAAGTTATTTTGTGCTGGTATGTGTGTTGTGCGTGCGTGCGTGCGTGCGTGCGTGCGTGCGTGCGTGCGTGCGTGTGTGCACCAGTGTGT